TCCCCTATCGGCAAGGAGCTGCGACAACTAAATGCACCAAGTCGCACGACCCCTCAAAACCTCTCATTCAATATGCGTTGATGATCGATGCTGGTAGCACTGGTTCTAGAATCCATGTCTATCGCTTCAATAACTGCGGTCCTACCCCTGAACTTGAACATGAAGAATTCAAAATGACAGAGAAGCGGAAGGGCGGAGCAGGACTGAGTTCCTATGGGGCAGATGCTGAAGGTGCCGCAAAGAGTCTTGACCCGTTGATGCAAGTGGCTTTGGACACAGTGCCGGAGGAATATAGGTCGTGCTCGCCGGTTGCCGTGAAGGCAACGGCTGGTTTACGTATGCTGGGCCCTGACCTCAGCCAGAAGATTTTGGAGGCGGTTCGACACAGATTGGAGACTCAGTACCCTTTCCCGGTTGTGTCAAAGGAACGGGGCGGGGTTGAGATTATGGATGGAAAGGATGAGGGCGTTTACGCGTGGATCACAACCAACTATCTTCTTGGAAATATTGGCGGCCCAGGAAACAATCCCACGGCTGCTATTTTCGACCTGGGGGGCGGCTCGACTCAAATTGTTTTTGAACCGATGTTCAAGGTCCCTGAGAAGATGGAGGACGGGGACCATAAATACGAGCTTACCTTTGGCGGTAGAAAGTTCACTTTATACCAACACTCGCATCTCGGATATGGACTTATGGCCGCCAGGAACGCAATTCATAAGGCTATCATCGACGCGAAGCACAGTTCTAACGCCGAAGACAAATCTTGGCTCTCTACCCCCATTGTCAATCCCTGTGTTGGCCCTGGCATGGAGGTTCATGTCAACGTCACACTGGGTGAGGACCATGCCCTTGGGGAGAAGGTTCAAGTCAAAATGGCTGGTCCGACTGGCGCTCCATCGGCAGCTCAGTGCCGTGGCATCGCTGATAAGGTCCTTCAGAAGGATGCTCAGTGCGCTCTGAAACCTTGCTCATTCAATGGTATTCATCAACCGTCTCTTGCCAAAACGTTTGCGCGAGAGGACGTGTACATCTTCTCATACTTTTACGACCGGACGGCTCCGCTAGGAATGCCTGATTCGTTTACTTTACGTGACTTACAGCACTTGACCAATACAGTTTGTGCTGGCGAGGGTAGTTGGGGTGTGTTTGAGGGTATCGCCGATGCTCTTGAGGAATTGAAAGGACGCCCGGAGTATTGTTTGGATCTGAACTTTATGCTTTCGCTTCTGCATCATGGGTATGAGATGCCACTTGATAGGGAGGTTAAAACTGCCAAGAAAATTGATGGTAATGAATTGGGATGGTGTCTTGGGGCCAGGTAAGGGATTTCGCTTTGCTTTTCTACATGAGAATCTGCTGACAATTATTTTTTCGTAGTCTTCCCCTTCTTAGCAAGGACTCTGGCTGGCAATGTCGTATTAAGCAAATTTCCTAAAGGATAGAATTAGACTTCCTTTGTGACGATGGTTTCCCTTCTGCCTCTTGTCTTATTTGCACGTATATAATACTAATTGATGACATTGATTTTATCTTTGGTTCAGAAATGACTGAAGCAGCCGTTTGACCCCTTTTCTACTTCCAAAAGATATTGGACTATTTTGGTTTGGGCTGGGCCTTGGTTTTCGGTGCGATGGAGTGTTGTAAGGTATCATTGGCAATCCAAGGTCTCTAAAAATCTGTGAATTAATATCTGCTTCTATGTGATATCTTGAATCTGAGTTGAATATCCAAGCATAAGCTGTTAGCTTTTTGAGAAATATCCTGTGTTGGTACTACTGCGGTTCAAACTAGCTTTTTCACAGTTTTAGAGAATACTACCATTGACTCCGCTCATATCTGGGTATCAAAAATTATAACAAAATCATCACGAGCTTGGTTTAAATGGCAGATGGAAATAGCACCAAGTAGGGAAACAAACTCCAAGAGGTCGGTAGAGAAGATACATGGTCCAAAAGAATATGGGACCGGCTAGATGTCAGCGATCCACCTCTTCTATCGTTGGCCTTTTTGACGCCATCTGGTTTCCCATTAATTTATCCAAGATATTTGCATTTTTGCAAGACTGCTGATTGCCTTCATCATGGCTATCGTGATCACCACTTGTTTCAGATTGGTTATCTGGGTTCTCTTCGAGGACTCCAAGGCCGAGGTTCTGGGGGAAGGAAGCACTGAGTTAGCTCACCGCTTTTTGTGCGAAGAAACAAAGAGTGATACAAACCATCTCAATATACTGGTTGGGGTTTTCCTGTTCCTCATGTCCTCCCTCCCCCGCGCCTTCGTTACCGTCAGGGATTTCAACACTGATTACTTTCCCCGACGCAATGTCCTTCTCGAGATGGTCGTTCGCAGCTTTGAACGCAGGGAGGAACGCGGCTAGACGAGAGGATAGATCGGAGGTAGGCATCTGATACATGGAAGGTTTGCGGCCCGTGACTATTATAGGCTCATCATCACTCTCGCTAGATGATGATTGAGACGTGTCGTGGTCAAAAGAGACCGGATTAGGCTCGTCCTCATCCTCGCCGCTGGATGGCGGCCGGGACGAGGATCCCGATAACGTGGAAGCTGACGATGAAGTGGAAGTCGCTGGGCTTGTTTGACGAGAGGCAGTGTTAAGGTGTGTTTCCGCAAGGAGTTTCTCGCCATCACTGTGGGCTGCCACCAGGCTGTTCCCATCCGAGACAGATCCGACCTTGAGCCGTTTCGGCGGCGAGCCACATCTGCTACCGTCACGAACTCGTTTTTGCGAAAGGCCTGGCATTTTGCTGTTGAAACAGGGAGCAAAGCGGGGGGTTTGAACTGGAATGGTGAACCCTCTGGGCTGGCGCGCGAACTTTTTGGCGAACTCGATGCGGGTTTTGGTTCACGGTTCGATCTCTCCGCCGTGGGCCGCGCACGGATAACTAGGTCAACAATTGGCTTTCCCCCTCCACTGCGGAATCTCTGAGACGAACCGAACCAAGCCTACTCAAACCGGAGCGCGGTGCTCCAACTAGCTATCAAGCCGTCGAGGAAGAGACCAAAACCGTCGCGATGCACCAACTGTTTCGCCGAAAAAATAAGAAACGCGGCGTGACATCATCTGTCTTATGTCATCCGGCTGCACGTGACGGCCAGGGGGCATCGGGCGTTGAAACTATCAAAACAGCCGCAGCGGCGTCGACGGCACGAACTCCGCCTCGATATTCGCGGTCGAGACTGCTCGTGTTAGGTTTCCTAGTGCTGTCAGGAGAGGGGCTGGCCAGCGAGTCTGACTCGACCCCAAGCTGATATCTGTGCCGTTATCACCTGCGTTACGGTGGATTACTGGGCTCCATTTGCTTCATCACATAAATCAGCCATACATATTGGTGGCTTGGTGCTAACCTAGTACGTATTTGTTTCATTTGTTCTACTTTGCGAATGATGTGCTTTCGAATACTTAGTTTTCCGCACGAGCCAGCCTTGTCTGCAAGGGCGGCGGCTATGCGGAGTACGCATCGCTATATGATCTCTTATATAGCCCTGGAAGCGCCTATTATTTATCTCTTGACATAGTGTCCCTCATCTCTACATTCCATGGTCAAATTGCTACCGTAACTTTTTGCTGGCTTGCCTTTATTTCTGTTTCTCCACGAGAAGAAGAGCTGATACATCTACTAAGCGATCATTTGGGGGTTCTGCCAAATAATCTACACGGCAAGGACAAGTCCCTGAGAAAAGGTGGTGTCTGCCTTGAACCAGTATCTTGATTTTGGCTCTATATCTCAATGGTAGAGCTGCCCCGAGCGCTGAGAGCCGAGAAAGAACCAAAATTCTGATCGTTTATTCTAGCCAGGGCTCAGATGTCTCTGTCCAGCATGAGCAATCCAACCATCCAAACGACGGGCATCGACCCGGAGCCAGAAGCAAGCAGCAACGACACGAAGTTGCCCGCAACCCGCAAGACTCTTCATCAAAATATCATTGGCAAACTGCGCCCACTTCCCTTCCAATATAGATGGGTAGTGTGGCACGAGAAACACGTTGAGTCTGCGAATTACCATGACAGGTTATACCTGCTTCACGAAGATGTCGCAGACATTGCCACGTTCTATCGCATATACAACAATTATCCTTGGGAGAAAGTCAGGCTACGAGACTCTGTGCATATTTTCCGTAAAGGAACAAAGCCAATATGGGAAGATCCGGAGAACGTGAATGGCGGATGCTGGACGTTTCAGGTCCCGAAAGCGAAAAGCCAATCCTTCTTCCACGAACTTGCCATTCTCTGCATGGCAAACGAACTCCAAGCCGCTGTACAAGGGGGTAAGTCGCACCGCCCTACTTCCCATCCCAGGCACCACTTGTATCTACAGGTCTGACTCGTCTTTCTAGAGCACGATCATGTTTTAGGCGTATCAACCTCTGTACGCTTCAAAACGCACCTAATCTCTGTCTGGAATAAGTCTGGTAGAAATGAGAAGTCCATTCGAGCTCTCGGTGACACAATTATCGAGCGTCTTTCTGAAGATCTACGCCCAGCTTCGACTAAATCATACTATTATAAACGGCACGACGAACACGATGGGTTCGCGGCCGCATTAGAGGCAGTGCGAAAGAGTCAGGAGAATAGCACCTCGTGATCGAAGGGCGACGGTGGTGATTAGGGTTGGAGTGGCTGTTTTAACGACTTATGTATCTGTGGAATATCCGAATCCCACAGGATGAATGATTTGATAGATTTATGTTGTGCCCTATGGCACTATTCTTACGCGGCAAGCTCTCCTCAATGAACCAACATTCTTTATTTCAAAATTAGATGTGTCAACTGTTAGAGTGCGCGTGAATTGCAAGAGCACATCGCAATGCTGCTTCCCTTTGCTATATATTTTATATCTTGGGTATCAAAAGCCAAAAGCTACATCAGGAAGGGAGGATAAACCATGCCAACGCGTCCATAGAACACCGTCTTCAAGCGCCCTGCTATGCACCACGTCCAACGCCGCCGACCAAACCAACGCTTGAGCCTAGAAAGCATCTTTGAAAGTAGACACGACTGCAATAAAGAGAAACTAAGTAAACCTATCGGCTCCGGCTCCTACGCCGACTCCTCCGATCGTCTCTATCCACGCTCGAACCGCGAACAGAGGCTGTGCTGCCAGCACCAAGTGTACTCCCAGGAACGTACCTGTCTAGCCTGCCTCTGTCATCGCGGTCACGGTCCCTTTCTCTGTCGACGTCTCTGTCCCGATCTCGATCGTTGTCCCTGTCACGGTCGCGAGACCGATTGCGGTCCTTGTCGCTCCATGTCCTGTCTCTGTCTGGGGAGCGCACGCGGCGTTTTGGTGAGCGGCTTCGCGTTGAGGTCGCGGGCACATATCGGTCGATTCCAAGTTGGCTAGGCGACCTAGAACGACGGGAAGGCCTGCGGGATTCTGATCGACGGCTTTCTTCTCGGCCTCTGTTAGCTAAAGAGCGCGAGCGGGAACGAGCCCTCGATCTGGATCTTCGTCGGTGCGGGCGCGACCGTGAACGCGAAGGAGAGTAAGCTCGAGGCCGATAGCTGCGGTCTTCACGATCCCGGTCTCGCTCTCGGTCGCGGTCCCTCTCCCTGTCCCTTTCCCGCTCGCTATCCCGAGGTCGATAACCGTCGCCCACTAGTCCCCTCTCCCTGTCTCGTTCTCGTCTGTCTTCTCTGTCCCTATCCCAGTCTCTGTCTCTGTCCCGTTCTTTTTCTCGTTCAGTATCTCTAGGCCGATAGCCGTCACCGCCTCTATCCCAATCCCTATCCCTTTCGCTATCGCGAGGTCGGTAACCGTCACCACCTCTTTCCAGCTCCCTTTCTCTCTCTCGATCCCGCTCCCGTTCACTATTACGAGGGCGATAGCCATCTCCACCTCTTTCCCGTTCCCTCTCCCTTTCCCGCTCACGGTCTCGAGATCGTTCCTGGACTGGCGAGCGAGTCCTGCGACGCGTGGTTGACCGATCGTCTCTATCATGTCTATCACGCGGTGTTCTATATTCACGATCCCTCTTATCAGTATCCTTTCCACGATACCGTTCATCATCGTAATGCGACGATCGTCTGGTTACCGACCCGCTTTGAGAGCGGTCTCGTGGCCGAGCCCGATATTTGTCATAACGATTCTCGGCGACTTCCCTGTTCGCTTTATCACGCTCATTTTTTGGACGAGAGGGCATGCTGGCTTTCACTGATGGCGGATGTGCCTGAGCCTGTTGCTCTTCTTCCAATGCTTCTGCCTTTTCAAAATCAAATTCGGGCCGTTGTTTCGATTTTGCCGCAAGTTCCTTGCCTTCTTTCAGGAGAAGTTCTAAAGCTTGGTCTTCCAGGGCCTTCTCGTCCACAGGGGCGGGAGATGGGGTAGGCGCTTTCGGAGTCCTCGACGTTTCCTTTCCTGGAGTGCGTTCCGATCTTCCATCACGGTTTCGGTTTGTGTCTCGATCACTATCACGGCGCCTATCGTCATCGCGATCCCGTGCTCTCTCTCTATCACGCTCCTTTTCACGCTCCTCCCGCCTCCGTTCTCGGTACTCGCGTTCTTCCTCGTCTCTCCGTCTTCTACACTCTTCCCGCTCCTTGTCTCTTTGTTCGTCCAATTTTCTTTCTTCCTCACGGCGTGCTTCCCGTTCAGCGCGCCGTTTTTCCTCCCGTTCTTCGCGCTCTTTTCGTTCGGCCTCCTTTTGCTGTCTCCTTATCTCTCTCTGTTTACGACGTTCCTCAGCATCGGCTTTGGCACGTTCCTCCTTTAACTTTCTTTTAGTCTCCAGTTCCTTTAATCTGGCCTCCTCCCTCTCCTCTCTCTTGGCTTGTACTAAACGGGCATATTCCTCGTCCGTAGTGCTACCCTTTTGTTCCTCTGCACGGGCGGTCTCCTCTCCTACTTCCTGTCGGCGAATGCTCCGGAGGACATCCAGTATTTCCCCCAGGAAATTGGCAGACAAGGCGTCGACTGCACTTTCCACACTTTTGTAAAGATCGCTCCTGTCCACAGCACCCTCAATGAGCGTGGCCGCTTTTCCTCTTTCGCGAGATAACAGTGAAGGATCACGCTCGATTTCGGATTCCGCCATTTCAATCAGAGCTGAGGTAAACGACTTCTTCGCCTCCTACAATGCAATTTGAATTAATCAACGGCCTGTCGCACCAGTAGTAGCCGGGTGAGTAATTGTCTGTGCACTCACACTTCCGTTGAATTCAGCCCATATTTTCTTCCGTATAGCATCAAAGCCACCTTTTTTCTTGAATGAGTAGAGTAGACTATCGATGGCAGCGCGTTGAGCAGAAGAAATTGGTAGCTCGGAAGTTTTAAACTTCTTGCGATAGACATTCTCAATCTCGTCGCTAGGCCGTTTCGTACCGGCCATTTCAATGTCGGAAGCAGCCATCGCTGCTGATATCTCGAAAGCGCGCAAGTTAGGGGAGCTTCACATGTTGGCTCTGAGGTGCGAGATTCACCAAAAAGTCGATGATGCCGCCCATGATAAAAAGGCACGGAGAAAGGTTCATCCGTGCCCGGCCCTCCAAAGCAGGTAGCGATTGCTAATAATCCGAGCGTCAAACACTTCCAACGACGACGATACTCTGGCATACGGTCCCGTTGCGAATTGTTCCCTCGTCAGGAAAAGCCAAAGTAAAGTCAAGGGCCAGAGGAGCAATTGAGACCACGTCTTCGTTCTATACGTTACTTTGATACTTTATCAATCCTACCCGGCGAGCCCTCTGCGGCAACAGCATTTCAACCCGCCATGCCTGTGCATAAGGTACTTTTCTGGAGCGGATTTGGTATGTTCGCAATCAATTGCAGATTCTTCATCTGATTATGGAAACATACGCCCGCCACATGATTTGATAGTACCGCCAATGTCTCGCAGCTGATCTCTGACCGCTAAACTTCCATAGGCATTGCCGTCCGTCTCTGGCAACTCGGTATTGAAATGCGCCCATTTTTCAACAAAGAATCCCTATGGGTTTACCCGCTCTTTGCAACCGTTGGCGGCAGCTTTGGATACTGGCTTCAGGGTGTTGAATCGCGACAGTTGAAAATGCTTTCGGACCGGAAGGAGATGTTGTTGGAGAAACGGCGAAGGAGGGCGGAGAGAGAAGCGAACGAAGTGGGAATTAACAAGGTTGAGGAAGGTGGGCTTCTCGCAAGCACTTCGTGAGAGGAGTCTACCGCGTTCAAAACGATACGAGCGTAATCTGGTCGCGATGAAAAACGTATGCACATTGACTTCGAAACCGAAGGTGAAAACGAGGTGGCGATGAAAAGGATAACGGATGAGCTTCTCTCTGTGGAAGAATTGAGCCCTCTCCGTATTTGCGGTTGCACTGTACAATTGCTTCAATTCTGTTGTTGGTTCGAATATAGCCATGGCTCCTATTACAAACTTATCAGGATGCTATGATTCCCCAAATGTAAACTAACCATTACCATGTACCCCCTTTCTACATTCATGTTTATTTTTTTTTTTTTCAACTTGAATCACAAGTCAAACAATCGAGAATCCAAGTGGCTCAAATATTCTTTTCACCAAACGAGCAAGCCAAGGAACCGTATATCACTTCTTTCCGTCAAGCCGCGTTTTTTGTGAAGCGTTGTCCAAGGCTTTTTTATTATTATTTCGATCCTTTTTCTTCTCCCTACCCTTTAGCAGGCCCAGGATTTGCTTCTTCATCGCTTTCTCTATTTCCCTGGCCATCTCCAGCTGTACGACCCTGCCAGCGGCCCTTTCGAGTTCTTTTTTTGTATCATGTCGATTGTCAACCCCAACTCCACAACCGTCTTTACCTTGCCGGCCCTCCTTAGGCTTGTTGCCATTATCTTCTGCGCTAAGCATCTGTGCGACAATTTCCCCACGTTCATCTTCAGTTGCTCCACTGATGGACAGATAACTAGGTAGCCCAAAGCGGAAGTGTTTGGTGGCCCCCCATTTCATAACCTGATCAGCGAGGCGACAGCAGCCAGCGGCACAGACACAGTGCTTGAAATCCAGGGATATATGTGCAAGGCCTAGGTATTGACGGATGAAACTCAGCGTGCGACCCCAAAGGATATCGTTCAACATTTTCATATCGGTCTCGTGCTCTGTGTTATGAGTAATGCTAAACGCGGTATTTGTCGTATAGCCTGAGGAGAGTGCCCGTATCTGAGCTTGGACTTGTAGTTGCGCTTCATCTCGTCTGACCTGCCGGGCTTGTTCCTTGTCCTGATATCTCTGATGATTGATGTCGTCATCTTCGCCCGTATTCCTTTCATCACACTCGATATTGTTCAGGTTCATTCCCACAGTGTGGTCCTCAGCGCCAACGAGACGTGCGCGAAGGGCCGATATCTGCTTTGCCATAGGTCTCACTGCTGAGAAATTGTCTTGACGCGTGATCACTTGCTCCATCATTGCCAACTGCGTGCTGAATACACTTGTAAGATATCGGAAGTCGCATATATCAAAGATAACCTCTACACTGCGAATATATCTGATATTCTCACTGAGTCGCGGGTATCGCTGGATGGCGTAGAGGAGAAGATCCGGGGTGACGATCGAAAAGGTATTTTCCCGGTAGAACTCGACAATGGCTTCCTCGTAGATTTGCTTGCAAACGCGCAAAATGACAAGATTCGGCGCGTCGTACTTTTTCTGTGCGTTGTTCCCTGGCTTGTAGCGCGTTGGGACGAACGGCTTGATAAAGACTCGCCCAGGAACAAGGGTGAAATGGTATATTTTCTTGCGCAAACTCAATGGTAAATTGAAGAAATGCGGCTGTTGCGAATGGACTGGCGTTTCGACAGGTTCGCCCGTATCAACATGGCTGAAAGGAGTCATCATGGACGTGACCTAATCACATAAACAAGGAAGGAGACGGTTGTGCGGGATAAGGAAGATGAGCCGCATTTAATGAGATAGAATTGCCCTGAGAATTGCTGGGCTCACTTGTTTGGATCGCCGCGGCAACTTCAGGGATTGTCGTCTATTATGTATGTCGTGATATACTTATGGCAAGCCACAGGCTGTAACAGAAGGACAGATGAAAAAAGAACGCAAACCAGTTCACACTGAACGTTCAGAAATTAAATAAAAGGGGCCAAAAGCTTTAACGCACCTGCATTGAGAAATTGTGGTATTAAGCACATTGTAGAGAAAATGCAGAAAAGGAGTAAATATAAGATACTCCATGGGGTATCTCTTGGGGAAGCTAGCACCCTATTCAACAATTTAAATCCAATTCCGAGATAAGGATCATCACTGTTCAGCATCCAATTGTAAGGACACCTCCCATTTCTGGCCTCCGGCTCCATATACTCCCCCAAGCTGCTCCTTGATCATACTCGTGATCCGTTCGCGCAACCTCGCCAGGCTTTCCTCAGTTCCACTGACCCTGAGTTTAAGGTTCGCCATGCAGAGTCCATGATGGACCTGCCAGAACTTCGCTTCTTCAATGCCTGAAACGGCTGGGTGCGAGACGATATCTTTCATTACGTTTGAGACTCCGGGTCCAGAATACGACATCAAAAGCATGGAGCCGAGGGTTGACACGAGTCGTATTCCCAATGCACACATTGCAATAGCAACAGCCAGCGCAAACGCCCTGTCCATCCACTTGTAAATAGTCACTGATAACAAGGGAAGCAGGAGTAGGATCGTAGAGCATGAAAGCGTCAGGAAATGCGCCGGGTTGCTTAAAACAGAAGGGAGCGATTCCATATACGCAAAGCGCATCGCCTTTCCGATTCTTGCATGGTTCTTGAGGCCAATGGCGGATACAAGAGTTGCCGCAATGGCAAGGAGCACGGTGATGTCGAGGCTCCCTGGGGAAACACGTTCATGGGAATGTGGTCGATGAGCCCCGTGGTCTGAAGTTTCCAAGAGATGGGAGACGGCATGCGATATCAGATCGCCGCCCATAAAAAAGAGCAAGACTGAAAGAGCGAATCCAGCGACTACTTCAGCGCGTTCAAGGCCGAACGGGTGACGAACAGTAGATCGCTTCCAAACTTCAAAATTCCCAAGAACGTCCACTGCAACGCACAACATAGCTCCCAAAGAGTCGAAGAGCATAAGGTGTGAAAGTCCCGTCATTGCCATCGATCCATGAGCACTCCATAGAGTATATCCGGCGACCGCCATATGGCATACACTCCACCAAAAGCGAATCTTTTGCTCCCTGGACATACTACCGCGACATTCCTTCAGCGTTGGGATAGGTAAGGAGTTGGGAAGCGCCAATGGTGCCCTTGGAGGAGGTTCGAGGAAGATCTGGTGGGATACGCTGCTATGCTTGTATTTATGGCCGCGGCGCTGTCCTACCCCCTATGTCCAAGTCAGTTCCACTCCACCCATGATTACAGCTCAAACATACCGATTTTGCAATTGGAGTTTTTGCGAGAACAGTGGGTTTGAAATTGAAGGGGCCGGAAAGATCTTGACTAGCTCGTCGTTGCGGATTCCAGGAAGGATCTAGTCAACGGCATGGCATTAGATTCGAGCCCGTAGTATATTCAATGGGACGCAACCATACCTCCTGACGCGAACGTGTCGACCATTGGAGAAAGGGAATTGGAGTCAGACGAGACGTCCATCGAGGCAGCATAGGAGTCCACCGCTGGTTCATCTGGCGGAGGAGTTGGCGTACGTGGAGGTACGGGGATGGACAGATTCGAGGCCATTGCTGATGAAGGCTGGAACAGAGTCGGAGTAAAATTATCCAGTTGTTATAGCCATCATGAAGACAATCAAATTGAATTCACAATGGAACTAGCTGCGATTAGTCGTCATGTTGCTGTATATAACGCTCTAGAGCCGTTCACGAGCAGAAGTGTAGTCAAATATAATGACCAGCAAACAGTTTCACGGATGACAACGCCACCCACCTCCACAACCACCATCAACAACCGCGATTGCGCCCATCATCTACACTTCCAACCCCGAGCCCTGGATTTTGACGTGGGCTATGGATCTGGGCTCTGGAAAAGACGGTTAAGGCTTCCATGATTTGCTTGGTTGCCGTCCATGGATAGCCGCGGTGCGTTTATCATCTTCGTCCTCCTCTTCTTCCTCTTTGCGGCACCTGAACCGCACCAACCGGCCCCGATATCAAAGGCAGAGCTTCAGAAACAGCTGGATGCGGAGCAACGGGCCTTGTCCTGGTTGAATTCCTCGAGCTACGGAGACTTGGATAGCCAGCACGACCGCTGGCTGCCCCTTGCTGGGTTGACGAAGCGCGACGGCTTTGCATGGGGCCTGCTTCCGATTGTGCAAGACAGAGCTCGACAGCAACTGCAATTTATCCTTGGTGCATCCGGAATATCGGTGTCAGGATCCTCTGCTTCTCAGCCACACGCCCTAACTGCCGATTCCAACCTTACAGCTTTGGCTCTTCCCGTATATCGAAATGTGACGGGTAGGATACGGGGCGACTGGGTGCGGTGGAGGAAACCTGAGCTGGCAAATCGCCCAAACCTGAATCTAACTCACATAGCAACAAAGCACGACTACTTCACCCGTGAATTTGGGCGCAATATCACGACAAACAATGGGCACCTAGTTCTGGATTTCCAAGAGGAGGTAGAGAGAGGCAAGATTATTGACGTCAATGGGGTTCCAGTCCGCGAAATCAAGGTCCAAATGCTTGTAGAAGCTAATGATGGACTCGGTGAAAGCTGGACTCTCGCACTATTTGGGGTCCATTTTCCAACAACCGGAGCCATCGTGCTGACTACGGCGAGTGAAAAGTTTGCAGGAGTTACGGCCCTGCCCCATTTTACCTTGTCAAGGGACAGCTTCCGAATTTCGCGGCAGCTACTGAGCAAGTCGCTCTCAGATGCGCTCAAAGCAAAACAAAGTCGACCAGAACATTATTTGCCTTGGTCATCTTTGCCCCATGGGCCCAGTACTGTTGCTTTTCCGTCTCCAAAATGCGAGTATATTGCTTATCTTCAACAGCATCCAGTGATGATTGGAACGGCTCCTGCCCAGGAACCAATACTTGATGCTATTGAAAATGAGCTCCGATTTCCCAGGGGTGCCCCTATTCCGAATCCACCGCCAATGGTGATGTCTGCCGCAATGTTCTCTCCAGACTGTGGTTTTGTCCTGGAGTCGAAAGGACCACCCGCCTATGCGCCCCAGGACAACCTATATCTCTCGGGCCTGAAAAGAGAAGAGCAGGCCAGATATGCTAAGCGATTTATAGTCATTATTGCCGGTATCTTTATATTACAAATCAATTTGTTGATGCGTCAGATGAAGGAATCATCTACACCGTCAACGCGAAGCCGAGTAAGCTTTTATACCATAGCCATGATGTCCATGGGAGACGCCCTTCTCATCTCTTTCGTGATGGTACAGCTATGGTCGGAGGCGTCATTTTTGTTAATGACTGCTACTTCCTTTCTAGCATTCTTCTCTATCAGTTTTCTTGGAATGAAATTCCAAATTGAGATATGGACAATTCAGGAACCTGAGCGAAGAGGGAGCGACTCTCCTTCCTCTACGCAATCTTCGTCAGAACAAGCCTCTACAACTCTTCCTCCGCCCGCCGCAGCTGCAACGCCGCGTGACACTGGAGCCACTCCCGTTATTCTGCCTCCGGATCAAGACGGCCCTGACAATGAGGCTCCTTCGGCCCAGGTACAGACCAATAATGAGTCTGGGACGAGTGCCGGGGCGATGTATACAAGATTTTATTTCACGCTTTTCAGCCTTTTTTTCCTCTCCTCGTGGGTCACCTTCTGGCCTACTCGTCTCGCCGCCATATACGCCGATGTACTCATTTTCATCTACCTTTCGTTCTGGATACCCCAGATTCACCGGAATATCATGCGCAATTGCCGAAAAGCGCTTCGATGGGAATTCGTGATAGGGGAAAGTATTCTCCGCATTTTTCCCTTCGTATACTTTTATATATTTCCTCGCAATGCCTTATTAGCGACACTTAGTTCGACCGAAATACTCGTATTTGTGCTATGGGTGTGGATTCAGAACTGGCTACTTGTCAGCCAGGATATTCTTGGCCCAAGGTTCTTCATTCCAAAGACCTGGGTTCCGCCGGCCTACGACTATCATCCAATCTTGCGGGATGCGTCAGCTAGTGGATCGGGTGAAGACTTGGAATCCGGAGATATTTTACCCATAAGTTCTCTTCGGGCAGAACAGAGAGATGTCTCCGAGGACGCTAAAAATAGTGATAGGCCAAGCACTCGGGACAGGAGGAAAAAGGTTTTCGATTGTGCCATCTGCATGCAAGATATAGAAGTTCCTGTTCTCCTCACGCCTGGCAGTGGGGTTGGCAGCTCAGGGACCAGCGTCACGGAAAGCGCCGCAAGCCTTCTGAGTCGGCGCGCGTATATGATTACGCCATGCCGCCATATTTTCCATAGTCCATGTTTAGAGACTTGGATGCGACTCCGATTGCAGTGCCCAATCTGCCGCGAGTCAATTCCACCAATTTAAGGCGTGGGTTTTTGAAGTATATGCCGTGGAATAAGTCTAAGCACTCTTTCGCCGCATTGGGGAAGCCCTGTACATATTAATAAATCCGTAAAGCGCTCTTGCGCATCGTGAAGTTGGTTTCTTTTTGGTAGGACAAACTGGACGTAAATCCAAACTTGAAGCAACCGATATTCGGTAGTTAGCTATCTCGTACTGGCATTACTTCGGCGAAGTACGCATGGTTCACAGCATCGTTTTTGATATTCCGATGCATCATCACGGAATAAAGGTATCAAGTGCGGAGTCCAGGCCAGAGTCATATTTGGCCAATATCTGAATTCGATAACCAGAAGTATTCATAGACCAACATCGGTTCGACACGCAGACTTTGCTGGGTTTAGCGAAAAACGCTCGTGTTGGCATTGCAGCAGAAGAAAACATGATTTTATATTCTCACCGTCTCTATCTCGGTTTTAAGCAATTTTGCTTTTTGTGGCTCATGTTCCTCTAAAACAGCTTGTTTATTCAGCTAATACACAGCGACTTCGTGATAGATGGAGGATATCAGCGGCTTTGGCTTGCTCACGAGAAGTCAACACACGAGGGAATCGTGCCAAGTGCTTCCAGCATAAGAGCGTAGCAACTCTTATGGCAGCTGGATGAGTTGCGAACGAGGAGCCGCAGAGAATCCTGCCATGTTGTAACTAGCACTGCGAGGCTGCGAGCTATCTAGGCAGGAGAACACCTCAGAACCTTGCCCTGGGCACCCTCGACCTGCCAGCGCTTCAGGGATCACATCCTCCCTCTCATCAACGCCCAACGTCCCCCCACGCGCCGGCCATAGCTCCCATGCTGGCGTCAGAAAGAGTGAGAAGAGAGCGGCCATCGACATTCTTGAACTTCGCTGGCGCCTATTCTCAGGTTCACAGCCTCCTGGCGGACATCTATTTCAATCCTCGGACACTTGGAGGTTCAGTGACAGCCAGCAGCTCTGGATGCAACAACCGCGGTGCCATTCGTATAAGCTTGGCAGGACCAGCTAGCAAGGATGGACGTCCAACTCCTTGTCCGCTTTTGAGACAGATCATACGCCGCAATCGTTTTCACGAAGCAGCAGAGAGAGGCAGGTCACTTCACTTCGTTCACGAAGTGCCCCGGGGTACCTGGACTTCTTGTGCTCGAAGCCTGCATCAGGTACCGGAGAGTTGGGTAGCTCGGAAACGGCGGAGTCATCCAAGACAGTGGAGGACGGAAATAGACAGCCGGACGATGTGGAGGTGGCTCTCAAGGCTGCTTTGATTCAACTATGCCCGTGCTTGCGAGGCAAACTACCTGAACAGTTCCAACTATCAATCAAACCGTCAGCATCAACCTGATCACCAATGATTCCGGATGCTCCATTGAGCTGAAGAAGAGCGCGACAGATGCGGCGAAAGGGGCTAATCAAATCTGAAAGGGAAGATGAATTGTCTCTCTTTCCGAAGCTTCCATCCCATGCTCTTATTACCTGCGTGTTCAGGCAAGGATCAAAAGGAGCCCCTGAGCTTTTCGCCAAACAGCGAGAGAGGCCAATTCGGCCCCTGCTGGTCCGAGCTGTGTGCTGTACGAAGAAACATACCATGCGGGCATCTCTGCTCCTCAATTGGACGTACTCCTGGCCTACGGCCAAAGAGAGCTGATATCAGTGAGAACTTCGGGGAACCCGTTTGAATTGACCAGCTCAATGCAACGGTAACAGGGTGCGGACAATCATAATTGCAATGTTTACTTTTCTGTCGGGAACCCGAGGGCCAAGTCAGATCAAGCAAAATGCCATCTCCGAAGGGCTCCTACCTTGGGACAGAGATTAGTGGCATCTATTTAATCATGGCCCATCCCGACAGGAATCGAGAGTTGAGCGTGACTCCGCAGTCTCCTAGTATCAACTTTTGGTACAGCGGGCCCTGCCAGTATGGGTTTCTTTACTTGCCTTGCTTTTGCGGGGCTTCTGAGCTCCTTGCCTGTGCATTCATTGAGAGCTCCGGCGGACACATTTGTCTTCCCAGGAAGCAACAGTAAACCATGGGTTTCAAATCCTGCGGAGGAGTTCCTCACGGGAGGCTATCTCGTGGAGTATCATGACAACACCAAGGTAAGCAATTATCCTAATGCTTCAAAGGTCTGCGGTTGTCTAACGAGAAGAAGCAATTCTCCGCGCTTTCTTCAGCCCTGGAGGGAGTTGGATTAGCATCACAACATCGCTTTGACTATAACCACAAATTCTTCCGTGGATCGTCTTTCGTCGTCGACGAACCCGAAGATCAAGAGCGCACAATGGCGAAGATCATGTCAACTAAGCAGGTGAAAAACGTTTGGCCCATTCGGTTGATAAAACGTGACCCTGGCCAGATACATTCTAAACTGCCTGCTGGGATCCATAAATCCCCAAAGTTGGCCAAACGTCGATCAGAAGATAAATGGTCAACACACGTTATGACAGGGGTGGATAGGCTCCACGCTCAAGGCCTTACTGGCAAGGGAATCTTCGTTGCCATCCTTGATACCGGCGTGGACTACAACCATCCAGACCTTGGAGGCGGCTTTGGCCCCGGTTATAAGGTGGCTAAAGGGTACGATTTCGTGGGTGATAATGCGAGATTTGGGCAGGATCTCCAACCAGATGATGACCCCTATGAATCTTGCGGTCTCCACGGTACTTGGGTTTCTGGGATTGTAGCAGCCAATTCCGGCCCCTTCAACGCAGTTGGCGTTGCCCCTGAAGCGACTCTCGGCATGTATCGTATTTTCGACTGCCTTCTGTGGACCTCAGAAGATGTGGTTATCAGCGCCTATTTGAAGGCGTACGATGATGGCGCTGATGTTATCTCCTTGTCCTTCGGCTCCTATAGCGGCGTGCCTACTGGTACGTGATCCTTTACATATCAAATGAAGCATTGTGCTGACCCTGTTTTAGATCCGCTGGGGCGCGTTGTGTCCAACATTGTAGACTCAGGTGTCATTTGTGTTGCGGTCAGTGGTGAGGTTGGGGGTCCGCCTTTTCAAGCAAACAGTCCGGCTACCGCACATAACACTCTCTCCGTTGGTACGGTTGAAAATACGGTCAAGCCTATTTTCCGTTTTCTCGGAGAATATTCTGTCGACGGAGGTGACAGTGAAACCTTTGAATATGAACCGACTGATATCCCTTTTAAAGAGTCTAGAGAATTATGGACCTGGAACTATACGATGGATTACGACGATCCGTACAGCCTTCTTACATGCCCTGATTTTCCTCCCGGCGTCCCTGGCGTGAGTGAAAAGGTTGTCCTTGTCCCATTCTGTTTAGGGACTATGTTGGATGCCGTAGGCCTCGGGGCCAAGTATCTCATGCTTCATGATAATGGTGATATCCTCCCTTCAGTTGCCGTTGCTGATACGGACGACGATGAAGAGATACTGCTTGGGTTCGGAATTGTTACTCGCGAACAGGGAGATGCATGGCAAGCAAGTTTTCTGAAGGGCGCAAATGCCACCCTTTCCTTCACCAATCCAGATGACCCTGATTTCCGGTACCGCGAAGTCCCTAATAACCTCGGAGGGTCAATGGATATATGGAGTTCATGGGGTCCGTCGCTGGAAATGGATTTAGCGCCTATGCTTGCTGCCCCAGGCGCAAATGTTCTTGCCACGCTGCCTAAGAAAGATGGACTTTACGGTGTTCTATCTCGTGCAGGAGGTGCGGCTCCATATGCCGCCGGTGTTGCCGCTCTCATGAAGCAGCATGACAAACGGATAAACCCCAAAGAACTTGTGCGAGCTCTCACCACAACCGCAAACCCGATGAAATTCAATGACGGGCGATCCAAGGATGACACCTTTGCACCTCCAATCCAGCAAGGAGGCGGACTGATTAATGCATACTCGGCCATTCGCTCCACGACTAAAGTTTCACCAGCCCATATTAAACTGGGTGGTAGGAACAAGGCAGCTGTGGTCACTATTCGCAACAACGGACGCAAGTTTCAGACATATTCAATCTCACATGAGGCCTCCCACAGTGTCTACACTGTTTTCTCTGACCTTTTTGAACGCACTACGCTCCCCGAAATCGCGCCTAGCACCGCGCGTGTTCTAGTTTTCCCGCCCAAAATCATACTGCCACCAAGGACGAGTCTCGGGATCTTGTTGCACTTTAGCTCTCCATCCAAATTGGCCAAAGAACGGGCTCCAATCTACAGTGGTCACGTATTTGTCAAGGAGAAGCACGGAGCAGAGTTTTCTATTCCATACTCGGGCACACCCTCGAACCTTGAAGAGATCGAGCCATTCAACAAACGTCTTACCTATTTAGCCTCGACAGACGACATCAGTAAAGGGGTTGAGGACGGCCGTATCTTTAAATTCCCAAAGGAAAACGTCACGGATATTGAAGATTTCAACCTCCCAGTCATGATGGTTGGCTTGGACTTCCATGCTCGCGAAATCCAGGCCGAACTCATCCCAGAATCTCCAATTGAGGGCTTTGACGGCAGACTTGGAGGCAGTGAACCTTTTGGGCCTCTTCCCCCTGGGCTTTGGTTTCCCATCCCGGTTTTCGGCAACTTGGCTTCGGGTGAATTACTTCCGGAAGGGAAGTTCCAGCTTTCTGTGAGGGCGTTGAAGTACGGGGGAGAGCAAGACGAAAACAGTGCGTGGCAACAGATATCGACGACGACTTTTGGTGTCGAATTCGTGGGTGGAGGTGACTGATTAGTTTTTTTGGGCATGAGATGGAGTATTTTTTTTGGGATGTAAGCTGCTTGTTAAAGTGCGCTTCTTTATGATTTCTATGTCTCGATTCTTGTCCTTCTTAATATACTTTGATTCACGGATGACTCGTGACATGTCTTTCTAGGCTGATCTAGTTACTCCATGTAGACTCCAGTGATCGTTTCGTAGCTGGCAGGTTGCTGCCCTGAAAGTGTCTCTAGAATCCTTAGATTTTCACCAGTTGATTTCACCTATTTCGATGAAACCAGATATATCGAATATGTTCGTTAACCTCCATATCATTTCTTTAAGCATACCACAGCCCTTCCACTGGGTCTTCAACTTCATGCTCAAAGACGCCAAAGGCTAGATGGCCCACGTCCTCATTCATGCCCGCAAATTGCTCGTGGTAAGCGCTGGGTATTCTCACCGCACCCCATCGAACAGTACTTTGCGATATTTGCACCAAAATGCTTTCCTCACCCTCTCCCAAATCGCTCTTATACCTTGAATCCAGCTTGGTGCCCGACAGCGTCTGAGCTGGTGCCAGCAAGCTCTGCAACTCTATAACCGGCTCTGAAGATTCGCGAGCTGGCTGATCGTTCCCTCGAAAGGTCGCCTGTCGTGGTTCGCTCAGGGGAACCTGTTCGTATCTCCACTGATCGTTACCCACGGATAACGGTGAGGCTGCCCCCGTCCCGAGGATGGGAGGCACATGGCAAGCAGCGGACACAACCATGGAGTTACTTCCTCCCATAACCATAGAACCTTTTATTCTTCTGGTGCATATGATGAGCGGAATGACCGCGAGTACACAAGCAATCACAAACACTATGAGGATTGCAAGGGTGGTGTATCCAATCCCGACATACGCATCAGCCGCAAGGCCGGATGAATCCTCTGCACCCCGTGCCGTATTTACTACGTCCGTAGAGTAGGGCGAGTATCCAACGAGATAATAGCCTGATAAGAATATCCAGATATCAGCACAAGACACACGGATGGAAAAACATGTGGAATTACTTACCTCCTTCAAGGACGAAAACATAGAGCGTGTTTGACACCAACCAATGTAGCAATACGCTAATGACAATCAACGGAATACTATACCGATACGGCAGCTGTAGTCGGTAGGTCGAAATTTGCTGACCCTGAGGGCGGGTGACGCGCAATGGGTGATAGCCCCTGCTGTACTTGTTCCACTCTTTCTCAATGCATATTCTAGTGTAAAGCGAATTGTACACAAAATATGAGAATGACAGTAGCAATTGCGGTGCGTTGGCCTGTAATGCGGCCATCCTCAGTCCCGCACCCCGGTATCCATTGGCGTTAAAAAGGCCATTGGTAGGGCTGTGTGAAAGGGTTTGCTTGCTAGGAGATTGTTAGGAAAGCGGAAACAAAGGGTTTCTGAATGTATAGTAATGGCAGAGAGTTTTACATACCGTTGGAGGGGATTGGAAGATTGTGCGGAACCAAGCATGGCACCTACGAAAGCGATCACACCTGCAAAAATGATATAGCTTCGTATCCATGCAGATTTTGATACAGCAGCAAACCACCGGCAATTACGGTGATGCCATCGCTGAGGCTGGGGCTGGGGCTGGGGGGCATTAATTGGACGCGCTGCCCAGATACTGGTTGTCGAAGAGTGGTTTAGGGTGCACCTTGCAGCTGTCCGCTCATCGGGGGTGATTATAAAAGAGGCAATGGCATCACCGAGCACAACCAAGGGCTCCTGTGATAGAGGTTTGGCCAGCATGAATATGCACAAGCATGTTTTTATCATCACACAAATGATCACAGTCAGCAGGATCGAATTCGATAGACCGACTTTGCAGACGGGTTCAACTTTTTGAACTAGGCAATATTTCAATTTTAGATCTAGAACCTCGTTATATCTGACTTCGGGGATTTTAGCGGACTGGCTAACCAGGAACCTAAATGTGCGATTCGACTGTATATTGTCTGCGGAAAGAGGTTCAGCACCGGCATCTTGCTGGCCGTAGGCACGGTTGCAGGTCTGGAAACACCCCTCAATCCGATGCGTTCTGGGGTTGAGGTCTGCGGTTGTGCTGCAATTGGCGGCAAACCAGAGAGAGTTGCTCTCAGAAGCGGGTATATGAGGGCCCCAGAGATCCTCTGAATCGGGGTCCAAAGGCCCAAAGATGCCATCCCGCGTCCAACCAAGGCGGTTGTTTTGGCTAAACATGAAAATAGGATCGTGGGATTCGACCACCATCACTACATCGCCGTATGTGGTGCGCGCAGAGCAGAATTCATACTGCGATCGACATTCGGGTACGTCGATCCGTTTCCAGGTCTGGGCTGATCTCGCCGTGGATGAAATATACTGGCTCGCATTCGATTCGGGATTAAAGTAGTCGGTGACGGGTACAAGTTGCCCGAAGCCCTCTACTCCCTCGCTTACACCGGCAGGCAGCAGCATTGCACCCGGTTGAAAGTACTGTGCCTCATTGACAAAATCTTCCGATGCTATGGTGAGGTGCCAATGCCCTCCCTGATAATCAGTGGCAAAGATGACACTGTTAAAGAACAAATGGATCGGGACGGAGCTGATGAGGAAAAGAGCCCATAAAACCTTTTTGTAATAGGAGATATAAAAGAGGTTTCGGAGGGAGGGGACTCCAATCTCGAGAGGCGTGTCATCTTTATGAGCAGCATTCACTTCGCTCCGGGATGGCGAGCTGAGGACCTGCATGAAGAAGTTGGAGGAGGCCAGCACGCCGGTCGAGAAGACGTTGAGAACCAAATGTAGCCATAAGTTGATATTTTTGCTGGTAGCGCAATTGCCTCTGTAGAGGATAAGGCTGGCATTGACGCTGCCAGATCGCGAGCTACTCCAGGCCAGGAGGCTGATAGTAAGGACTGTGAAGATGAAAATGCATATCGTGTTGATGACTGCAGTTCGACGCCATCCTTTTTGATGCCAGTGCCATAGCGCTCGTTTCATTTCGTGAGGTCAGGGCCGTGAGTTGGCATCAATCGTTTTCTGAGTAGATATTGCATGTCTGAACAGCCGTTGAGACCAGCACACCGGCGGGAGGAGCGTTGAAGAATGCGCCAACATGTTTTATGAGCTATGAGTTAGATTGTTGATCCAAGGCTGCGGGCCAATTGTGGCTATCGCTGTCAGCAGTGTGTTGCTTAAAATAGTGTCTTTAGGAATGCCTTGCCGTGTCTCGAACGACTCTCAAGCTAATGTATGCACTGTCTCCAATGCCATTGAATGGGTATCCTGATCTCGAGAGATCTACTCTGCATAGAGGAGGTGACCAGCAGGGGTGAAGCATCAAGAGTGATCAAAGGTCTCACTCCATGAGAATTGGATATCATGAACTGGAAAATGTTTGACAAACGAGCCGACAGTAACTACGCTAACGAGTTAATTAAAGTAAGAGAGAACTCTCTTCAACAAGAGTGACTTTCAGCTACAATCGCGGCCGTCGGATTATGCGCATAGAATACTGAATCTGTTGAAGAACGATATGTATTTACATGCCCACAACGTCATTAAACGCAGTGTAGACGGTGAGTTGACGATCCCATGAGATCGAAACATGCCGTACAAACGAAGAGGAAGGCTAGACAACAACGCAGCTTTTCGTAGCGCGCCATTCCTCGCAAAAAAGCATTGGGACATGGGATAGGGAAACAGGGCGTTGAGACGACAGCATGCCAGGGCCTGCGGAAGGCGTGCAGTAACCACCATTCATTCCAGGCCATTATCTTAATCTTTTTTAGAATCGACATGAAACCATTAAGAAATGCATTCGACGACCCTACTCCCGAAACGACATGCGCGCATCCCGAATCAGTGTCCGCCAAAAGACATGCGTACTTTCACTCGTCTTCCTCCAACGAAGCCTTGTAGGACGCTTCATCCATCAATCCGTCCAGCTCGCTGGGGTTAGTAACCTCGACCTTGACAAACCATCCGTCGGCTTCAGGGGAGTCGTTCACGGTCTTCGGTTTGTCTTCCAATACAGTGTTGGTCTCGACGACAGTGCCGGAAACGGGGGACAAGATATCGGAGGCAGACTTGACGGACTCCACGGCGCCAATGGTCTCGCCAGCGGTGACTGACGCATCGACACTGGGGAGCTCGATGTAAACGACGTCTCCGAGGGCGTTTGCGGCGTACTCAGTGATGCCGATGGTGGCTAGAGAGCAGCGGTCAGCGGGTGGGCTGTTGGTGGCATTGTAACATAGCATACCTGTTTTGTTATCTGCGGACAATTCGACCCATTCGTGCTGTTCGGTGTATTTCTTCGCTTGCCCTAGTAGACAAATCGACGAATTGAGTCAGCAACGGCTTTCTGTCTTCCAGCCATGGAAACCACATTTCGGCGCCGAATCCGGCAGGCCGGCGGAGCACAGGCGGAACCAAGAGATGGGCAGTCTGCCAGAGCAATTGGAGTAGTCTCGACGTACAGAAAGTACTCTGCGAGAAGCCTCTTCGGGTATTGGAGAATGCGTTCCAAGCGGGCTTCGAGGCGGTGCGGAGGGACGAGGAGCACACCCGGACCTTGGGAGCCGCCACGAAGGCGCTCCGGAGGGGGCTGGCAATTCGAGCAGCGGCGAAGGACATTCTAGCAGTGCAATTGAAGATATGGGCAAGGGGGATTGACTGTTCAAATTGAAATTTTCCCAGCGCTGGAAAACAGTGGCAGTGGTGTCGGTGCAAGGATGAGTGGGCAAACTAACTAGTGAGCGGGTGAACGCATGTTTGGACGAAAACATTGATTTTGAATTCTCCGACGGAAAACTTGATATCTAGTTAACTAGCTGCAACGCTTGATATAGAATGGAGCAAGCTGCTGCCACTGGTCTGGACTGAGCTCCTTTTGACCGTTCTGCAGAATCGAATTTATAACAGCTTGAATGATTTCTCTGTAGACCAGCGGTTTGTCCTATTACTGGAAGGGTCTATTTCCTCTTGACCAGTTTGCATCCAAGTAAATTGTATATCTTCATGAATAGAGAACCTATCTAATGCAAGTGCTATTTGGTGGCTTGCCCGTGCACAGTAACTAATTAGTTCTCTTGTGCTTCAACATCATTGTGTCTCAAACAAAGGAGAAGAGCATCACTCAACTGCAATCCCACCAACCAGCTCTTTACCACAAGACTCCTTCTGATGATAACCGGACATCTCTTGGAACCGAAAATATCCGCTTGAAAACCGGCCCTTGCAGATTCCTGTACCGAAAACCAGCTTGCATGCCTTGAACCTGCGCCATATTTGGCTTCGCAGGAGTCCCGCCGGTTTCCATGGAAAATGGAAGCACGCCCACAGCACCAGCTCCACGGCAAGCCCAGAACGATGACTCCAGGTCTAGATCTTCCAGCGTATCGCACAAACGGAGCATTTCGTCGTCGCTGTTCTCGAGGCTCGCATTCACTCGTATGAATCAGTCGAGCGGGAATGTTGCCGAACACGGGAGCCCGGGCCCCTGGATGCAGGATGAGGATTCTCGCAACGGGCAGTTGAGCGGCAGAGAGACACCGGAATCTCGAGCGGGAGTGGGCGGGGGAAGGGCCATGGCGAGCGCATTCCAGCACCAAATTAAGACTAGGAGGAGAAGGGGATCTTTGAGAAAGACGGCCTTGCTGGGAACGGGCGTCCTGAGGATGTCGCAGAAAGGGCTGCCGAGTCGGGCCACGGAGCTCTCTCGCGATGTCTCTCCCGACAAGGAGAACAGACAGGACAACGAGGAAGCTCGTCGTCCTGATATCTCTCAACCTGCTGGACGGCACGAAGAGGCTCCGCCGTCGCAGTCAAGCCGTCCGCCGACTCCTCCGCGACCCCCAACGCCTCCCGTGCGCCCGCCTCAACCAGTGTGGCCCCGTCCTCCCTCACAGAGAGGAGACCGGCAGCTACAAGACCAGAAGCAATCAATCCCGTCCACGCTCACCTCTTGTCCAACCCTAGAGAGCCGCAGCACCGCAAGCTCCCTGCGCGACGACGCGCCCACCGACGATGAGGACCTGGTCTCATTCCCGCCCCTAACCAACGCCCTTTCAAGAGCCTCCAGCCAGACAAGCACCAGCAGCATTTCCGCCCTATCCTCCCTCCCACCACGCCGTCTCCCGCTGTCCATTCCCACCCCACCGTCCAGCTCAGACTCCTACTTCCGCATCGCCGACGCTGCACAATCCCGACCGCACGCCCCCTCCCAGCGTGTCCGGTCCCCTCTGGCAACAAATCCGGCGGAGATGGCCTCTTCGCCGGAGGGGTGGGACTATTCTGAAACGGAATGGTGGGGCTGGATTATTCTGATTGTGACCTGGGTGGTTTTTGTAGTTGGTATGGGCAGCTGCCTGGGCGTATGGAGCTGGGCGTGGGATGTCGGGGAAACGCCCTATGCGCCGCCAGAGCTGGAGGACGACGCGACGTTGCCGATCGTGGGATACTACCCGGCCCTTATTATCCTGACGGCGGTCATGGCATGGGTCTGGGTGGTTGTTGCGTGGATGGGGATGAAGTACTTTCGGCATGCAAATATCTCGGGGGAAGACATATGATACGGCTCCTCTTGGGTTTGAGGGGATGATAATTACCGTCTGGGATAATACTAACCCAGGATACTCTGGTTATATGATATGAGAACCGTGAAAAGGTAAAATTGGTCCAAGATTTATATCCATTGCTATAGAAGATGAAAATTGCTGACTTGTTGCTTTAGAAAATTGCCGACACGCTTCTAAAAGACGCCCGCTTCGTGGTATAACCTCCCATAAATCCAACAAATCCCCAACTCCATGGCCAGAATCACCCGAAGCTACAGTAAATTTCGCAGATTAACAATGGCTATACGCAGAGCTCCCCTTTTTAGAGGCTAGCCTGTGCCATTTTTCGATTCAATAGATGAAGATTTCGCACTTCATTTGTCCTCTGCTGTCGATCTACCGATTCTTCAACCGGAGTTATAGATGCGGATATGTTTGGGGTTTCCGCACCCCCCGGTACAACGGTTTTGCCCGGTGCTTTGCTAACCAGACCCTTGGAAACGGCAAATCCCGTTGAACGGTCGTGGTTGGGATCCTCATCATAGAACTCGTCTATTATGGGATGGATAAGGACTGTTTGTTTGTGGATGGTAAGCATCGAGTTGGTCGGCACGGTCACCCAGTTGTCTGGAATGACATGATTAGCAAGGGTCTAGGCAATCACTTTTTATCGATTAACGTCAGGGTGGAATATCTTACGTCTTTCGAATGTGAGCGGCTCACTTGCCACAAGCACAATATCCGCGCCTTTGTCGTGTCTTTCCATCTTGAAATGTCCCTTCGTCTTTCCTTCTTTCCACTTTGTTCCGGAGGAGAAGTACAGGCTTGCAGCTTCGTCTGTCTTGCTGCTCACGTATCGCGTGCAGACTACAGTATGACCATCCGTGACGGCAAAGTTGAGGAGGCTCCGCGTCTCTATGTCAGTCATGTGACAGTCCTTAGGAATATTCGCGACCATTTCGTTGATTCTCTTAATTGTCTTGTCCATGACACTGCGCAAGAGGACGTGGCCAAAACCTCCCTCCGGCGCTGCGCTTGGGTCGACGCCCTCCTTCTGCATCAAATCCAGGAACAGGGCAAACGCCCATTCGCTGTCTGTGCCTCCTTTGACGCCAAGATACCATTTATCCGCGAGCGAATCCGCCAGGGTGCGTTTGATATATTTCCATCCTCCAAGATTTCCGTTATGCATCCACATCAGCGTGTTGTGCTGGAATGGGTGGCAGTTGTTGTCCGCCAGGGCGCCTTCCGTCGTGGCTCGTACATGTGCAAACACCAAGGATGAGCATGTCTTGGAGGCTATCCGTTCGAGGTTCTCGCAGTTCCAAGCGGGTAATGTGGATGTGAAGATACAAGGATCACGGCCGAGTTTCGGGTCCGTGTAGAATCCTACGCCGAATCCATCACCATTGACGGGGCGGCGAGTATCCTAAGAGAAGGGCGGGAGGGGTTAACAGTGGATTCAGAGATACAAATCGAGGCCACGTACCAGTCTCAGTCGGGAATCATAGGATTGTGTGAGGATGGAGTGAGCTGGCTCTGTGATCAACTTGCTGAGGAGAATGTCATTTCTGCCCTTGTAAACCTGCTCTTTTTGTCAACGAACTTGAACAGTGGGCTCAGACTGCAATGATGCCGCAAACATACCAGGAACCGACACATGATGGGTGCAAATGGCTGGGAGCGTGTTCGAATAAATGATTTCCAGGCGGGATCAGAGAAAAAGATATTTGGAATCTGCAAATCTCTCACCTGCAGGTAATTACAAGCAAGGCACAGACAAGTAGTAATAGTAATTTTAATTGCATGCACGGTAGCATGTATTAATTGCAGGCAGGGCTGGCTATATATGGCTGAGCTGTCAGGTTCGGTCACTTCAGCGTGCCAACGCAGCACTCGAGAGCTCCGGATGCCGAATATCAACCAAACTCCCCGGTTGCAGAATGGAAGTTGGGAGGAGACGCTTTCTGGAGAAAAGACAGGAGTATTTATTAGACCATTTATTTTTGTTTTTTCATCCCTTTTTCTGCCTTCCCCCCTTGACTTGGCTGGTTCCCTCTGACTGCTTCGAGTCTTGCAGAATCCGAGCTCCAAATGTCGTGATGCAACCCCGTCACATGATCGGCACTATTCTGCTTAGTCAGATCCTCCATGACGGCGACTCGCAGCATCAAAACGCCTTGAAAGGGAATCTTTTGCAGCAATTGATGCGCTTAATCACCATCCACCCGGCTCGTACGGACACATGAGAAGGAAAACATGAGTGGGAGACTACTCTCCCGCAGCTCCACGCTGCTGTCCCGGAGAAGCGCTTTACTTGCCCGCCAGCTCCATCACGGAGGCGGCCTGCAGTCCGGCGGGCTCCTACGCACCCACGGGAATGGGTACTATCTACGCGCACGCCTCCCATCGGCTGCCCGGCAGAACTGGATACATAATGTCCCCGCCGTGCGAACGATTTCGTTTGCGCGGGTTATCCCGAAGTTGGCCGCAAAGTTTGTGCGGATTCCGGCCATGTTTGGAGGGGCGATGATTGCAGGGTTGGCGTATATACAATATCAAGCCGCTCGTACGTTTTTCCAAATATGTTTGTGGCAAATGGGTATGGAGCAAAGGGCTAACTCGAAGTGTTGGAACTTTAGAAGCGGGGAATTATGCCTTGGACCTCGTGAAGACGGCGAGCGAAGCGGCTGGGGGGTTCGCGTCTGGTGCTTTGTTGGGGATCCAGGGAATAGCAGAGCAAACTCAGAAAGGATGGCAGAGGACTACGGAAGGTGTCGAACTACCCGAATGGGCACAAAAGATGCTTCGATTGGACGAATACGCGCGATCGGAACGTGAAGGCGGCGGATCTTCCGGTAGCGGTGGAGCGGGTGGGAGCGGAGGCTCACCGAAACAAAGTAGAATCGGTGCGGCCGGGGTGGCCGGTGCTGCAACGGGCTCCGCTTTGGCATACGACGAAGCGGACAATGAGGCGGCAGAAGGACGACGGGCCGTGGACGAACAGATGATGACACTGACGCGGAAAATGATTGAAATCAGAAATATGCTTCAACGAATTGGCCAATCCAATTCTCTCACCCTCCCGTCCATCGTTGTTATCGGATCGCAGTCTTCCGGCAAAAGTTCAGTTTTAGAGGCAATTGTTGGACATGAGTTTTTACCCAAGGGTTTGAATATGGTGACGAGACGACCGATTGAACTGACGCTTATCAATACGCCCAACTCCCAAGCGGAATATGGGGAATTCCCAGCCCTTGGTCTTGGAAAGATAACCGACTTTAGTCTTATACAGCGCACCCTAACCGAACTGAACTTGGCTGTACCGGAAAAAGATTGCGTCGCGGATGATCCTATTCAACTTTCAATATACTCGCCTCACGTGCCTGATCTATCATTAATTGACCTGCCCGGTTATATTCAGGTTGCTGGTCGCGATCAACCGATGGAGCTCAAGCAGAAGATTTCTGATCTTTGCGACAAATACATCCAAGCGCCCAACATCATTCTCGCGATCTCTGCAGCCGATGTTGATCTGGCAAATTCAACAGCGCTGAGAGCAAGCCGCAGGGTTGACCCTCGTGGCGAACGCACAATCGGCGTCATTACCAAAATGGACCTCGTTGACCCAGATAGAGGAGCTAATATACTTACTGATAAAAAGTACCCTCTGCGCCTTGGATACGTCGGGATCGTTTCTCGCATTCCCACAACTTCAGGGTTATTTTCAAGAGGGACGGGAAACATCACCACTGCGATTGTCAAGAACGAAAATGCCTATTTTAGCAACCATCCTCAGCAGTTTGGTCCGGGTTCTGATGTCTCGGTTGGCACTACGACGCTGCGAAAGAAACTGATGCGTGTTCTGGAGCAGACCATGGCATCTAATCTGGCTAGCACACGAGACGCCGTGTCTCAGGAACTGGAGGAAGCAACGTATGAATTCAAAGTACAATACAACGACCGACCTTTGAGCGCAGAATCGTATCTTGCGGAAAGCCTAGATAGCTTTAAACATTCGTTTAAAGAGTTTACAGAAAACTTCGGCCGTCCACAGGTGCGAGAATTGTTGAAGGCGCATTTAGATCAGCGCGTGATGGATATCCTCGCCCAAAGATACTGGAATAAACCTATCGATGATCTAACGCCACCTCTTCCTGATCCTGACCCTCTGGCAGAGCTTCCACGCGCAGACCCCGAGTCTCTTTACTGGCACCGCAAGTTAGATGCTTCTTCGTCAGCATTGACAAAGTTGGGAATCGGACGATTGGCTACAACCGTCGTAGCAAATGCCCTGCAGAATCACGTTGATGATCTAATCGCGTCGTCCACTTTTGCGTCTCACCCGTATGCCCAAAAGGTCATTGGAGACGCCACCACAACCATTTTAAATGATCGATTCTTTAGCACCAGTGATCAGGTTGAGAATTGCATCAAACCATACAAATATGAGATCGAAGTTGACGATTTTGAATGGACCAAGGGGCGAGAGAGCATCGGAAAGTCATTAAAGGAGGAGCTGAAAGCCTGCGAGTCGGCGTTGAAGCATGTCGAAGACTCGGTAGGAAAGCGCAAACTTCGAGATGTGATGAGCTTTGTCGACAAAGTGCGAAAAGAAGACGTTCAGATTGAAGGCGATGGCAGTGCGGGAGCAGGCGGATTTAGTGCCGCCCTCATCCAGAAAGGTATGCCAAACTGTTTTCACTCCATATCTAGATCAAAGCTAATGTGAAGCCAGGTCGAGAGGGTGTTTTCCTACGTGATAGAGCCGACATCATCAAAATGCGCCTCATGGCCATTCGATCGAAGCAATGTGCATCCCAAAAGAACAAATACTATTGCCCGGAAATATTCCTGGACGTCGTCGCCGACAAACTCACTGCCACTGCCGTTCTTTTCCTCAACGTAGAGCTCCTTTCCGAGTTCTACTACCATTTCCCTCGTGAACTAGACTCGAGGCTTGGCCGCCACCTTTCCGACGCGGAAGTGGAGCGTTTCGCACGCGAAGATCCGCGCATTCGCCGACACTTGGATATCATCCAGAAGAAAGAGATGCTTGAATTAGTACTACAAAAGATCGAGAGCCTAAGGCAATTGGAAGGGCGCAGCAAGGCGAAGTCCCAACGAGGCCCAATTTCGAAAGAAAGGGGCAAGGGCTGGCGCCTGTTTTAGACGTCTCACTACTCCAACGGCATCCTTTATTTTATCCTGTTTACCTTTCCTCCATTTCCTTTGCTTTTGCAACATTATACATATACCAGGACATGTCAGATTTGGAATGGCGTTTTAATATTGGTGTGTAAACATGGTTTTGGCTGTTCTCTTTTTCTTTCTATCATTATCATCAACGGATAGCAGTCAGGCGGCTTTTGGTTTTGATCAAAATTGACCCTTCTCGATGTATAGTTGTCTTCATTTGCATGCCTCTCCTTCTCTTCCATTTCACTCGCGCTTCATAGAGTTCAAAGCACCACCCGATGGCCGTAATATTACTCTATTCGGTATGCTATAATCATGAAAGAAAACACCATGTGCACCCCTTTGACTTTTTAAATGGTAAAATGATTCACTCAAGTGCATATTCTTAACCAAACCAGTAAGAGGGAAGAAATATTCATCAATGATCCCGTGAACCTCTATATCCAAGCACGAAATCGATATGTAGTTATACAGGCCCTTTGTCCATCGTCGAAAATCAATCTAGGACAGCAGCTCTTCAAACACAGCAGAAAAAAAAAACGCCAACATTCCCACGACAAATACACCACAATAATAAACCGTAAAAAAGCGTCAAGCTTTGTTTTTTTTTCCCGCAGAAAGAAAAGCAATCTCCTCTCTATTTCCCATCTAAATCTCATCCTGCAACCTCTGCCTATCATTCCACTGAATCCTCCCCTCCACATCCTTAATCTCCCCCAGCTTCTCCCCCATCTTCACCACCGAGAACCGAATCATGCGCGGATCCAGCCCCAGCGTGCGCCGCACCTCCTGCTGCACCGCCCCCGAGCTGTCGAACCGCATGATGAAGTGGTACCCCGTGCTGTGCTTGGCCTGGTGCTTGGTCGTGGGCCGCGGGAGGCGGAATTCGCCCCAGTTTGTGTAGCCGCGGACTACGCCGCCGGAGCGGAGGACTTGGAGGCCGGCGGTGCGGGCGATTCTGTGGGAGAGGGGCGGCGGGTTAGTTACGAATGCTTTGTTTTTTTCTCTCTTTGAGAAGATTGGGGGGTTGGGGGGTGTGTGCGGAATTGGGGGGAGCTTTTACTCTTTTACTTCGTTGAGACTGCCGGGGCGGACCTGCAAGATGGGAGATGGGTTAGTGGGCGTTGAGATGAGTGAGAAGGGGGAAGACGCACGACTGCTATTAATTCGTATAACATGGTTGCAGCTGGGTTGCCTGTTCTGGAGAAGACGGTGGAGGGCGGGTTGGCAATGGAGTTGCTGAGGATTGCGATATCAATGACTTTGCGATGGTGATGGACAGCCGTAATTTATTTTCTGAAGGTTGGTATTAACTAGTTAATTGCGGAAAGTCTGATTGATAAGATAAGATCCTATTAGTAATCAATTTAGCTCGTAGTTATTAAGAAACGGTGCCTGGGAAGCTCTCTGCTCAAATTGATCGCATCGATAGATTCTATTCTGTATCATCGGGGGTGGGAATCCGTGTAGACGTCCAACACACTGGTTCCTTCGCACTTTAACCATGTTTTATAGCGGAGTTACTATTCTGTCATTTCAACCAAGATCCCTCATGCCATCGTGACCCTTCGTAGGATGCATGGCAAGGCAGGCTGCGTCAGAAACAATGTTCAGACGGCATCAGTCCCCAAGGCCTTTTGCCCACAACAGTACCAAGATAATCCAACCGTGTTCTACTCTGCTCGAACCCACTCCAAATACCGACTTGAACTAACCTGTCCAGACGCCTGCTCCATATCAAACTCCTGCTTGGTCGCATTCTTGCGGAGTCGCAGAGGCCACCGCGGCACAATCGTATGTTTCGCCTTGATCTTCATCTTGTATTCCTCCGGTATCGGGCCGACATAGTGCATGTAGCGGTCGAAAACCTGGTCAAAATCGCGAAATAAAGTCAAGGCCTCAAAGCCCTTTAACAAAGCTGCATCTTGCTCGCGGTTTCCAGAGTGCATTGCTTGTCGACATTCTGGGATATAATGCTCGAAAACTTTACAGAAAGCTGGGTTTGTTAAAGATAGAACATCACCGGGCGTGCTCATTTCCTCGACCGCATTCATGAAAAGCAGCAAAAGCGTTGCACGTGGATTATCAGAGGCCCTCTTGAGCATTGGGCCAAAGGTAGCTAGACTGCAATTGAGCCCCAAATACCCCCCGTCCGAAATGTTGGAAATCTACACAGGAATGTCAGTTGTCTTTTGTAAAAAAGGAGGGTATTTTTCAGGAGCTGTCCACCTCAATCCTGTCAAAAGATCTCCCCCCAATCATACTTGGAAGATGCAACGCATCAACCTGATAAAGGTCGATATGAAACTTCATATTCATAATGCGACGACAGAACTTGAGAATCAGGTCCTTTACGTGGAAAAACAACGCCCCGTAGATATCGTTTTTCGCCTGCGAAGCAAGCCCCACGATCTCCTCGAGCTTCCAGCCGTCCAGGGGATCAGCACTGTCCAGCATACGCCAAGATTCAACTCCGTGGTAATGGGTCCTAAAGTCCTTTTTCAGCTGATGGTCTCTTGGCTTGGTCTGAGTAAGATATTATTCTTACGGATTAGGTGTATCAAACCTGGCGCGGCAGGACCCAAACGGCAAGAGGATGCCATTTTCGCGAAATTTGATTTTGGAAACACGCCGAAATGGCGGCTGGGAAAACAAGCCACGATGGAGATTATCCACCCTCGCCGGTGCCATCGTGATAGCTTTGCGTACACTTCTGGCCTTGTCGAGTGAGAGGCCTTTGGGGACCGTGAAACTGTTCCGAATTTCGACCCATCGATGTTTTTGCAGAACAAGGTGCAACGAACGTTCACCGCATTTCCATGTTTTCGCTTGCAGGCTTTCAACCGGTTTTGTGCTTATCTTCTTGCACACATCGTCGATAAGTGGCAGCACTTCCTTGTCCAGGATTGTCAAAATTTCGGCCGGTATCAAAGCAGAATACCACAAGTGTAGAATGATAGGAGTGGCTTTCTCGGTTGGAAGCGTCAGGGCCGTCAGAAGAAAGACTACATTTCTTGCCACGATATCAAAATCCAGATCGTTAAACGTAACGTTCAATGTCCCGGTATAACTCTCAGGCAAAGCGGCGACGGTCTTCATGAGGTTCCGCAAGTCTCCCGACGCTACACTTCACTCAGCGAAATCAGCCCCAAGGTCGAAAGAGGGTTCCTTACCGGCGAAAAGCAAATGGAAATCCTGAGACGTGTCATCAACCCCTTCGTTTTGGTTTAAATTCAGCAGATCCAGCGCAGGCATATTCCCCCAGAGGTACTTTGCTGCGCCGCACGAAACTTGATCAGATAACCTGCCCGTATTGACATCGGAGGTGATGAAACTCGGGCTGCGCCGCTCAGTCTCCCACGCCGGTCGCCATGTCGGTTTCCCCATGGGAGACTTGCAGTCATGCTTGTGCTCTGCCCAATGGGCCGTTTGGCAGCTTTTGCTGCAGTACTGCAGAGGGAACGCTTCTCAGTCCCGACAATCCGCGTCCACAAGGGTGAGGGATATGTGAAACCAACCTGAACAAGAAAGCATCCACCGCATGCTTTCTCAGCCTTGCCCTGGCAGGGAGACACCATGCCATCGAGACATCGTTTTGTATTGGCGCAAAGGCCCGGATTCAAGAAATCCTCAATCGGCATGATGAAATGCTATGGTATGTGAAGATCTTGGGTGAAGAAAACGAAAAGGTGAAAAAGAAGAGACCAGGGAAAAAGAAGAAAAAATAAAGTAAACAGACGGAATTCGCCTAGCAAACAGACATATAGATAGATAGATGAACGGAGAATGCCGTCTGTTTGAGCAGTGTCCTAATCCCAAAGGCGTCTCACGCCATGGATGAAACTGGGGGTATCTTGAATATCTCGTAGTAGAAAGCAAAGCACGCTGCCTACGACCCGAAATTTTGTAGAAAGGACAGGAGAGTTGGTAGTTCTGACGAGAATGCATTCTGGACCCAGGCTATTATTTAACCCCTCCCGCGTCTCGACGGATTGGCATCAAGTTCCATATAGTGTATGATAGAGATCTATCAGTCCATGCATGTAGAAGTAGGCAAGAGAACGTGAGCTCATTGGAAACTCCTTGGTGGAGATATTCGGGAAAATAAAAGCCAATGATATACCCCGTACAGGCCTAGAAGAAATCAAGTAGAAAGAAGAACCATACGCTACACGGCCAAGAACCAAAACGATGCAAAGGTATCTGGAAGCATCAACTCCAAAAATAGATAATTAGTCCAAGATAAAGAAAAGTTGAGAGGGTCATATCCAGAAGAAACGGATTTCATCATAATTTCGAAATCATAACATACTTTTTTCCCCGCTTTTTGTTCAATCAATCTCAGAGTAGCGTCGCTCATGGGAAAAATAAAAAGGAGGAATCCGGCGGCGGAGAAAAGGAGAAACCATAGCAGCAGATTCCCAAAGGAGAAGAACGCATGTCAATCTTGGAACCCACAGGTGACAACAAGGAGATTTGAGGAACAATCTGCATCGTAGAAATCGAATAAATCCAAGGGGTATTGTTCGTTTAATTAGACAGAAAAGAGAATTTCATTCGAAAACGGTTCAATACTAAACGGAACATAAGCAGAATGAAAACCCTTTGCACAAAGGCCCCCACTTGGATGTAGCAATCAGGAGAGAAAAAAAATGCTTTGGGAAATCTCAATCAAAAGATATCATAATAGGAGGCTGGAACAGATAACTCGTTGAATGTTGGGGATAAAAGAAGACTCCGGCAGCAAAAAAAAAAAAGGACCATCAAAATGAGGATTAAGGGGGCATCCCTGGACAAGAGAGATTTTAAAAGGTGTAATGGCAGGGCGGGGCAATCGTTTTGTTAAGAGGTATCGGGAGAGCCGCTTTAAGCTTGGTAGCCACCAAAGCCGTTGCCAAAATTGCCCGCATTGGGTTGAGCCCAGCCGGGATTGGGGTTGTTCTGACCACGGCCGTAGCCAGCGGCACCTCCAGGGACTTGACCGTAACCCTGGCCGGGCATTCCAGGACCAAAGTTGCCACCGGACTGATCCCAGCCACGACCGGCGGAGTTGGGGCCTACGGCACGTAAACATTAGCATTTCCCCACAGCAAAGAATCAATGGCTTGCCGATTTCCGGTATATTCTTTTTGGCTACCGACCTTGCGGGGTCATGGGGCCACCAGGACCACTGTATTGGGGGAAGTATGGGGAGGTACCGGAAGTAAAGGCTGGACTAGCGCCTTGCTGAGGAGAGTAATCAAACTGGCCGGTTGGAGGGCGATCTTTCCCCCACTAGAACAGAGTTAGCAAAGCTGTGAAACCCCAAGATTGGGCAGGGAAAACACTTACGCTGCACTTGAGCGGACGACCGTTGACGTTGTAGCCATTGAGCTGGCAGATGGCCATGGCGGCATTCTCGTGGGTGTCCATCTTGACAAAGGCAAAGCCGCGGTCAGCCTGGAAGCGGGTTTTCAATGACAAAGCCAAAGTTCTGGAAGAGCGGCACCAGGGTCGTTCTGGGTGGTGTAGGGGGTTAGATTGCCGACGTAGCACGTCGTCTGCCACTGGGGGGTCTGCTGGACGACCATGTCGTAGCTCTGGACGCCGTGGGTGGGGAAGTGGTGATGGCCAAAGGGGGTGGTGGGGGTCATGCCCATGGCGGCCATGGCCTGCTGCTGCGAGATGGAGGGCTGGCCCTTTTGGTTGGCCCAGTTGCAGCGGATGGCGCGGGAGCCCAGCCACTCGCCGTCCATGGAGCTCAGGGCCTTTTCAGCGTCGGCACGCTCGCGAAAGGCGACGAAGCCGTAGCCACGCGAGCGGCCGGTCTTCATGTCCCACATGACGCGGGCCTCGGAGACGGAGCCAAAGGCGGAGAAGGCCTGCAGCAGGACCTCGTCGTTGACTTCGTTGCTCAGGTCGCCGACGAAGATGTGGAAGTGGTTGGAGGTGTCCTCCTTGTTGTTGTTGTTGGATTGGTATGCCCAGTTGACACGGATTTCCTGTGTGAGGAGAGCTGGTGAGAGAGATGATAGAGGGAGGGGATTGGGGGGAAGACGTACTGACTGGTGCACGCGACGGCCGTTGAGGGTCTGCATTGCACGTTCTGCCGCACCGGGGTCGTCGTATTCCACAAAGCCGTAGTTTAAACCATTGCTCTGGAACTGGGCCACATGCATTAGTATGTGTGCAAAGAA